CCTGGTGCGGCCGGGTACGGGTAAGGAGTCAAAACCCGTTTGCGACCTCTGGCGACGGGGTCACGAGCGACGGGGTCACGAGCGACGGGGTCACGAGCGAGGTAGTTCTCCTGCGCGGAGGTGGCGGGAGTCGGAGAGAGGTCACGTGACCACTGGGGGTAGGGGGGGGCGAAAGGTGGACAGGGATGGGGGGGGGGCTCACCGATGGTCATCACTCCACAACGTTAAACCAACACCTGACGGGTGGGGTGAGTCTGTGTGTGTGGTGAGTCTGTGTGTGTGTGTGGTAAGTCTGTGTGTGTGTGGGGTGTGTCTGTGTGTGTGCATGGGGTGAGTCTGTGTGTGTGTGGTGAGTCTGTGTGTGTGTGTGTGAGTCTGTGTGTGTGGGGTGTGTCTGTGTGTGTGCATGGTGAGTGTGTGTGTGTGTGGTGAGTCTGTGTGTGTGTGTGGTGAGTCTGTGTGTGTGTGGGGTGTGTCTGTGTGTGTGCATGGGGTGAGTCTGTGTGTGTGTGGTGAGTCTGTGTGTGTGTGGGGTGAGTCTGTGTGTGTGGTGAGTTTGTGTGTGTGTGGGGTGAGTCTGTGTGTGTGTGTGAGTTTGTGTGTGTGTGGTGAGTCTGTATGTGCATGGGGTGAGTCTGTGTGTGTGTGTGAGTCTGTGTGTGTGTGTGGGGTGAGTTAGTCTGTGTGTGTGTGGTGAGTCTGTGTGTGTGTGGGGTGAGTCTGTGTGTGTGTGTGGTGAGTCTGTGTGTGTGGTGAGTTTTGTGTGTGTGGTGAGTCTGTGTGTGTGGTGGGGTGAGTCTGTGTGTGTGGTGAGTCTATGTGTGTGTGGTGAGTCTGTGTGTGTGGTGGGGTGAGTCTGTGTGTGTGGTGAGTCTGTGTGTGTGTGGTGAGTCTGTGTGTGTGGTGGGGTGAGTCTGTGTGTGTGTGGTGAGTCTGTGTGTGTGTGGTGAGTCTGTGTGTGTGTGGGGTGTGTCTGTGTGTGTATGGGGTGAGTCTGTGTGTGTGGGTGAGTCTGTGTGTGTGTGTGTGGGGTGAGTCTGTGTGTGTGTGGTGGGTTTGTGTGTGTGTGTGGGGTGAGTCTGTGTGTGTGTGGTGAGTTTGTGTGTGTGTGGTGAGTCTGTATGTGCATGGGGTGAGTCTGTGTGTGTGGTGAGTCTGTGTGTGTGTGGGGGTGAGTCTGTGTGTGTGTGTGTGGTGAGTCTGTGTGTGTGTGGGGTGAGTCTGTGTGTGTGTGTGGTGAGTCTGTGTGTGTGTGGTGAGTCTGTGTGTGTGTGGTGAGTCTGTGTGTGTGGTGGGGTGAGTCTGTGTGTGTGTGGTGAGTCTGTGTGTGTGTGGTGAGTCTATGTGTGTGTGGTGAGTTGTGTGTGGTGGGGTGAGTCTGTGTGTGTGGTGGGTCTGTGTGTGTGTGGTGAGTTTGTGTGTGTGGTGAGTCTGTGTGTGCATGGGGTGAGTCTGTGTGTGGTGGTGAGTCTTTGTGTGTGGTGGGGTGAGTCTGTGTGTGTGGTGAGTCTGTGTGTGTGTGGTGAGTCTGTGTGTGTGTGGTGAGTCTGTGTGTGTGTGGTGAGTCTGTGTGTGTGTGTGGGGTGAGTCTGTGTGTGTGTGGTGAGTCTGTGTGTGTGTGGTGGGGTGTGTCTGTGTGTGTGTGGGGTGTGTCTGTGTGTGTGCATGGGGTGAGTCTGTGTGTGGTGAGTCTGTGTGTGTTTGGGACATGTCTGTGTGTGCATGGGGTGAGTCTGTGTGTGTGGTGGGGTGAGTCTGTGTGTGTGTGGGATGTGTGTGTGTGTGTGCATGGGTGAGTCTGTGTGTGGTGAGTCTGTGTGTGTTTGGGATGTGTCTGTGTGTGTGTGGGGTGAGTCTGTGTGTGTGGGTGAGTCTGTGTGTGTGTGGTGGGGTGAGTCTGTGTGTGTGTGGGATGTGTCTGAGTGTGTGTGTGGGGTGAGTCTGTGTGTGTGTGGTGAGTCTGTGTGTGTGTGGTGGTGAGTCTGTGTGTGTGGGATGTGTCTGTGTGTGTGCATGGGGTGAGTCTGTGTGTGGTGAGTCTGTGTGTGTTTGGGATGTGTCTGTGTGTGCATGGGGTGAGTCTGTGTGTGGGGTGAGTCTGTGTGTGTGTGGTGAGTCTGTGTGTGTGTGGTGGGGTGAGTCTGTGTGTGTGGTGGGGTGTGTCTGTGTGTGTGTGGGGTGAGTCTGTGTGTGTGGGGTGAGTCTGTGTGTGTGGTGAGTCTGTGTGTGTGTGTGGGGTGAGTCTGTGTGTGTGGTGGGGTGAGTCTGTGTGTGTGTGGTGAGTATGTGTGTGTGTGTGGTGAGTCTGTGTGTGTGTGGTGAGTCTGTGTGTGTGTGTGTCCGGCAAAACAACCCCCTACCTCCTCGCGGTGCCGGATGGGCAACTCTGTCGTGGACAGTGCTGTGGGGGGCGGGCCAATTCCGATTGGCCCTCTCCCCTCATGGCGTCTGTGACCCCCACAGTGGCTAAACGGGGGCTCTGGACGGGTGCGAGGGGCTGGTAACCCCTCCACCTTCAATGAACTACCACTAAACTACGACTTAAATATGTAACCAATAAGCTTGTGCCGGAGGCCCCGGGGGAACAGGCGTCTATGACGTCTCCTGGCCAAAACCCCAATTGGCGGAGCCAGGAGATTGAATCTTTACCCGCGGGCTCCTCCAGAAACAATGAAAAGCCACTTCGTGTGGCCACGTGGAATGTTCGAACGCTCACTGCAGAGGAGAGGCTGCCACTCCTCTGTTGGGAGCTGGACCGGTACCGCCTGGATCTCTGTGGCATTCAGGAGGTCCGTTGGACCGGTTCTGGCTCCTGCCACCATGATGGATGGACAATCCTCCGTTCGGGGCAGGAGACTGCCAAACAACAAGGTGTGGCTCTTCCTATGAACAAAATAATGAAGGGGGCGTGGGAGCGTGGCGGTGAGGTGTGGGAAGCTGTGAGCCCCAGGCTACTTTGGGCTTGCCTTCCCATCAACAAGAGGGATGCAGGCAAAGCCGATGAGTCAGATGCCTTCTATGACCTCCTGTCACAGGTGCTGGCTAAAGTGGCCCCTCGGGACAGAGTCATCTTGTTGGGTGACTTCAATACCCGAGTTGGTCATGATGCTGGCACCTGGTCTGGAGTGATTGGAGAGCATGGGCCAGATCAGCTCAAGGAGGCCTAGATTTTTGTGCAGACCATGGGCTTGTAATTACCAACACGCTGTTCCGGCATCGGCGCATCCACACAACATCATGGATACATGCTGGGTTCAAGCAAGAACATCTGCTTGACTACATAGTGACAGACCAGCGGATGCGAGCCCATGTCCTTGACACCAAGACCTACCGTGGAGCTGATCTGCCCTCTGACCAACGACTAGGCATCTGTAAGATGCGCCTGCCATTCTTCCACTCCGGTGGTGGGTGTACACCCTGGACCCCATTCCAACCCAAAGTGGCCTGGTCTGAATTAGCTGATGAAAGTTGCAAGCGAGAATTTTATCATCGCTTGCGGCTGGGGTTGCCATCGTCCCCCACTCCTCTTGATGTCGAGGGTAAATGGGCGAGGTTTAGGACTGTGACTCATGCAGCTACAATGGTTGCTTTGGGTACGCGGTCCAGACCTCCCCAGAGACCCTGGCTGACAGAGGAGGTGTTCAGGATAGTTGAGAAAAAGCGACAGGCCCACTCTCATCGGCTACAGCATCCCACGTCAAAGAATGAGGAGGCTTACCGCAGCCTTCGCTCGGAGGTTCAGAGAACCGTAAGGCGCTGCAAGGATGGGTGGTGGTCGTGGGTTGCTGAGAAGATGGAGTCTGCCTCAGTGGCCCGCGATCACAAATCCCTATTTAACTCCATCAAAAAAGTAACCTGCAGCACCACACCTATTACCATCCTTAGGGGAAAAAAACGGTGATCCAATCTCTGACCCTCAGGAACAGGTTAGCAGATTTTCTGAGCATTTATGTAAGGTCCTGGGGGAGGGGAACTCCCTCAGCCAGGAAAACATCATGGCACAAAGTGGGGATGACCCTGCTGAGGCTGCGGTGCCTCAAATATTGGAAGAAGTCACCCCCTGTGAGTGACTGGCTGAGGTGCCATCTGTTGAGGAAGTACTGCAGGCGATCCGGAGTCTGAGACCAGGAAAGGCACCGGGCAGAGATGATCTCCCAAGCGAAATGCTGAGGGAGGGTGGCGTTTATGCACAGACTGCCCTATATGACATCATAACAACAGTCTGGACTACTGGACGGGTTCCGCAGGATTGGAAGGATGCCTGGTGGTCCCCCTCTTTAAGAAGGGGGACCGCACAGACTGTAACAACTACAGGGGCATCTCACTCCTCAGTGTGCCGGGAAAGGTCCTGGCAAGGATTATTCAATATTGCCTTGCCAGGCACGCTGAAGAGAGGCTTGCGGAGCCCCAATGCGGTTTCAGGAAAGGGCGGTCCTGCACAGATGCCATATTTTCTGTCCATCTGCTACAGCAGAGGTATAGGGAATTTCAACCAAACCTACATCTCTGCTTTATTGACCTGGTCAAGGCCTATGGTACCATCAGTAGGCCTGGGCTCTGGGTTGTTCTTCGTGTTTTCGGAGTCCCTGACCTTCTGCTCACGATCATTAAGGACCTTCATGATGGTGAGCGGGCCCGGGTAAAACTACGTGGCCGGGAGACAGAGCCTTTCCCTGTACACCTTGGGGTGCGACAGGGATGTCCTCTGGCTCCCACATTATTTAACATCTATTTTGACCACGTAGTGCGTGAAGCTTTCAATATCTGTACCGGGGGAATTTCCATTTGGTACAGATATAATGGGAGGCTGATCGATCGAGCTGAGTGGACTTGCCGATGACCGGTACCAGCGGTGTCAAGATCGGCCTCTGTGGAGGATGCTCGTGAAGGACGCTACTGGGCAGTTGGAGGCAGTCGCCCTCCAACAACAACGGAGGGCGGAGGAGCGACGCTCACAACAATGAGCAGGGCGCCGGGTGGCTAAAGCACAGCAAGTTGGCACAGTAGGGGGCACAGGTGGTGCATCAGCCACTCGTCTCAGTCATCTCAGTCAGTCGACCCGTGGCACCTGGGTCTGCCCCGTGACCTCCTGCCAGCGGGCATTCGACAC